TTTTAACTGGTTTATAAAACTTTAAAACTAATTAATAAAATTAAGTTTAAGAGAAAACATTTTATTTACCTTTTCTAATATCAGCACCATTATAATGTTTAAGTGCATCCAAAAATATTTTTTCTGTTATAGACTCTCCTCTAACAAAATAAATTTCAGCATCAGATACACATTCTGGATACTTTATATTCATTCTAAATTTCCACTCTACATATACAATTAAATCATAAATAATGCCTTTTTTGGGTTTATAATCGATATTTAACGAACAATTAGGTTTATATACATTTGATTGATAAGATAAAAACAATGTTCTCTTTGGTAACTTTGGAAATTTAAGATCCATTATTTTTTACAAAAATTTAACAGATAAATGAAACTATTTGCAAAACATAGAATTAAGAATGAGTTAAATGATTTATCATTTAATATACATGTTGAACAAAATGAATCTGAGTTATCTTTTAGCTTAAAATTCAATAGTTATTTGTATAATAGAAACTATGATTTTATAGTAAAATATCCTGATGATTATCCATTCAAAACACCAAAGGTTTATATAAAACAACATGTATTTCATCCGAATATTTATAATAATTCAGTCTGTCTCGAAATCTGTAGATTGGGGTGGAAACCTTGTTACGATATAAATACAATAATATCTTGCTTAATTTTGATTTTTGAAGAACCAAGATATGAAAATGCTTTCAATATAGAAGCGGGACAATTATTACAATATAAATACGAACAATTTATTAAAACTGTTAAAGAAGTTGATTTATTGAACGACAAAAATGATTAATTTTATTACTTTATTTAATTAATAGAAAAATAAACTTATTAACATGCTATTTTTATTGTGAGTGTTAAATTTCTTAAAAAGACTTTTACTTTTATTTAAATAAAGATTTTATTTTTTTATTAAAAAATAATTAACATCTTAATTTTATAACTTCTTACTATTTAAATAAATCATGTGGTTTTTTTTAATTTCTTATTGAAATTATTGGATTTATAAACATTTTCTTTAAATAACATTTATTATAAAATTTTAATTAACTATTTTATCATTTAAGTATTAAATGTTTATTGGAAGTTTTTTTTAATTAAAATCAAACATAATTTCACTTTTTAAAAATTGTTTTTAATCAAACTATTTTCTGTAAATTCAATCAAAATATTAAAACATAGCTTTCTTTTTTTAAATCAAAAATTAAACAAAAAAATTATTTTTTTAAATTTTAAAAATTATAAAAATAGAAATTCTTTTGCCCATCAAAATGAATATTAAAAACATTTTTCATTTAATTTTAAGATTAGAAAGCAGTAGAGTAAATTCTAGTGATTCTAATACATATGTTGAATTTGATGATTCATTAATGTATTTTAACTTAAATGAAGAATTTGAAATATCACTAGAAAAAGAATTAAATAATTTAAAGATTCATAGAGAAACTCTTAATTATGATTTCCCTTATTACTTAATTACGTCTCTGTATATTAAAGAAAATTATTGCTTAAATATTGAATCAGAATATCCTAAATTTAGAGCCTGTGTTAGAAAGCAATCTTATAAATATGAAGACAGTGAATATAAGTTTTGTTGTAGAGATATTAAAGAAATATTCGAAACTAATACCCAATTAATACTTTTAAAATACAATGAAATAATACAAAATATCTGTAAAGAATGTAGTGATTCACCTTCTTTACTTTATGTTAATTTAATTAATTTCCCTGATAATAATAAGATGATTCAAACTCTAAATGAATATGCGATACATTGTTATTTCTTAGAAATTTTACAAACAAGTCATTTTCTAAGGCGGATGATTGAATTTTTTATATTATTTAAAAAATTCCCAGATAGTTTAAATAAGAATTTAAAAGAAAATTCTTTGAAATTTTTTAACAATTATTTAGAATCCATCTCTTTTAATGATCATGATTCTTATAAGTTCTTAACAAAAGATAGTTTATTTAAATATACAACTGAACTTTTAAATATTACTTGTGATATAATTGAATTATTCTTACAATATAATTCAAATGATATCGAAAAATTTAAAAGTAATGTGAATACTTATAAGGAAAAATTTTTTAAAAAAGTTGAGCAAATAATTTGTGAATTTGAAAATGTTGTGTTTAAAAAAGATGATTTTTTACCTTTAAAATCCACTGAAATACTAAGTGATTTAAAAAAACAAGCTCTTGAAAAAAATTTACTTACTAATTCAAAATTTTTTTCATTGATTTATGAAATTCAAACAATAATAACTATAATAATTTATAACCCTGATGAATTTTCTAATGATTTTCAATTATTGATTAAATATGTTGAACGCATTCATTTTAGCACATTGTGTTAAAATATCATTATTGTAAATAAAATGTTGTTTTTCTTTAAAAATAATTTTATTGATCTTTAATTAATGAAAAATTCATTCATCTTCTGCTGTTCTTGGTAATTCTTTTAAATTAATAAAATCAATCCACTTATTATAAACATCTATGTTTTGATCTATTTTACTAACATCACATTTGTAAATAAAATTACAGACACAACACTTAGCAAATCCTTTCATGTTTGTTTTGCTTATCTTACATGTGACTACTTTCTCATGATTACAAACAGGACAATTAAATTTTTTATCAAGCATTGCACTAGTTTTTCTTTTTACTATTGGTTTTCTTTTAGATCTTCTCTTTGTCATTAAACAGATAACAAAAAATTGTTTAAAAAAAAATTAAAGTTAGTTAGTTTTATTTTATAATTATTATCTGTGCATCTTCTTTAGAATATTTAATTGTGTTATTTTTATCATCTGATTCAATGTTAAATTTACTATTTTGTTCAAATAAATAGAGAATCTCCAAATACTTTTTTATATAAATTGAATCATGATACTCAGAATGATAATTTACACCGGCAAGTATACCACATTTACTAACTTGAAATGAATTCATGTTTAAGATTAAATTATAACTTTTTAATTTATAATATTCTGTTATTTCAATTTCAGTTAATTTCATTGTTAGTAAATCACTTATCATATCAAAATATGACGCTATCTTTTTATTTAAACCTTTATATAAGTAAATTTGTAATGCAACAAAATAAGTATGATGTGGATTGTTTTCATTTGTAAATTGTTTAATGAATTCTCTTAATTTTTTACAGTTATCAATATTAATTTTTTCTTCAAAAATTATACTTTTTTCTTTATTATCATTTTTTTCTTTACTTTCATTTTTTTCTTTACTATCATTTTCATCTTCCTTATTAGAATTTTTACTTTCATACTCTTTGGAAATATTAGATTCTTTACTAACATTCTTAATTTCTTCATTTTTATCTTCT